AAGAATATTCGAGAAAGTTTAGGGGAGATCACTCCCGGTTTATTTTTCACAAAATGGAATTATTTTGATAATTTCGTACTTTGGGGGAATTAAAATTATTTCTTGTTTACGTGTTTGTCAAATGACATCATGTATCATGTACCAATGGGCGTAGCCACATTCAGACACACGAATAAATGGAGCCACTCATGGAGTCATTCACTGACTGGAGTCACACTTGAATGGAGTCATTCACTGACTGGAGTCACTCACTGACTGGAATCATTCACTGACTAGAGTCACACTTGAATGGAGTCACTTATTGAATGGAGTCACTCACTGACTGGAATCATTCACTGACTAGAGTCACTCATTGAATGGAGTTACTCACTGACTGCAGTTACTGATCGAATGGAGTCACTCATTGAATGGAGTCACTCATTGAATGGAGTCACTCACTGACTGCAGTTACTCATCGAATTGAGTCACTCATTGAATGGAGTCATTCATTGAATGGAGTCATTCACTGAATGGAGTCATTCACTGAATGGAGTCATTCACTGAATGGAGTCATTCAGTGAATGGAGTCATTCACTGAATGGAGTCACTCACTGACTGGAATCATTCACTGACTAGAGTCACTAATTGAATGGAGTCACTCACTGACTGCAGTTACTCATCGAATTGAGTCACTCATTGAATGGAGTCATTCATTGAATGGAGTCATTCACTGAATGGAGTCATTCACTGAATGAAGTCATTCACTGAATGGAGTCATTCATTGAATGGAGTCACTCACTGACTGGAATCATTCACTGACTAGAGTCACTCATTGAATGGAGTCACTCACTGACTGCAGTTACTCATCGAATGGAGTCACTCATTGAATGGAGTCACTCATTGAATGGAGTCACTCACTGACTGCAGTAACTCATCGAATGGAGTCACTCATTAAATGGAATCATTCACTGAATGGAGTCATTCACTGAATGGAGTCATTCACTGAATGGAGTCATTCACTGAATGGAGTCATTCACTGAATGGAGTCATTCAGTGAATGGAATCATTCACTGAATGGAGTCACTCACTGACTGCAGTCACTCACTGACTGCAGTCACTCACTGACTGGAGTCACTCACTGAATGGAGTCACTCACTGAATGGAGTCATTCACTGAATGGAGTCACTCACTGACTGGAGTCATTTATTGAATAGAGTCTATGTTGACAACTTCTTTTTGTCAGTGGATCACCGTGATTTATGTCTGCAATATACCTTCATAAGATGTACCTTTATACCTTTATACCTTTATAATATATTATTTATATCTTCAGCGGTAGAAGTACCATGCGCAGGTTTTGCGTTCGAATCCCGCCTAGAACCTGATCTCTTGCCGGTTGATGGCATTGCTCACCAGCTTGGTGTTGTTGTCCTCTGTATTCATGATTCACAGTGTTTCTTCCAGACTTTTTTCTCCGGAGGGGCACTTGAAATCTTCGGGGGGGGGGGGGGGCGGTAAACTTTCTTCGGGGGGGTGGGGCGGACACTGTTAAAAGTATATATTTTCTATATAAATTATATAAATTTCATTTCGTTCGGGGGGGGGGGGGGCGGTAACAAATTTTCGGGGGGGGGGGGGGGGGTGGGGGGCTTTGCCCCCCCCCCCCCCCCCCCGAAGAGATGCATGGAAGAAACTGATGATTCAGGGTCAGATGACCGCGCCAACAACACAAAATTTGAGACGACGCGTGGACAGAATATTGGGAGATTTTAATGCCCAAGTCAAAGCCGAGAAGAATTAGACGCTCCGTTTTTTTTTTTGTGTGTGCATAATTTTACGACATCAACTTAACAGTCAACTAATTTACGACATCAACTTTACATTGGGGTCGGCGTGGTCGAGTCGGATGTGATAAGTTGTGGTGTGTATGTGACAAGTTGTGGTGTGGATGTGACACTTTCTTGTGCTTGTAGGAATGTGATTCTCTCTATATAAACCACGAGCAGCGGGTGTTAAGTGGCATGAGGCCACGCCCACCAAACGGTTCCAGAGACAGGAAGAGGTTGAGTAGTGAGAGTGGCCGCCCTTGGCTGCAGGAAGAAAACATTTCATTGTAAATTTCCTTGCGATCATACATAATAAGGCAAACTTGTTGTGGTGCTAAATATAGCGCACGAGATCTTAAAATAGATCACAGAAAAAACAAATTAAAAAAGGGAGTACTGCGTGGTTCACTCCCCTTAAAAAAGAACTGAGTCACGGGATAAAAAGTTTGGTCAAAGACTGTAAACAAACTCGAATTTTTATTCAATTAAAAACAAACTTTGATCCCAGATGCGCGCGCATTATGCGTATCGTAAAGGGAAACAACGGTAGCATAAACTGTTCATTGAAATCTACCCCCTCCCCTCCCCCCCACCCCACAACACACACGTTCACTTTCCTCATCGCCCCCCCCCCCCTCTTCATCGCCCCACCATCAACAAACTTGACATAAACTGACTAGCGGATTATCTGTTTTATTTATCCCCTGCTGCACGCTGGCAGAAAGACAACTCGTTTGGTGGGATTAAAAAATGGGATTAAAACTTGGGATTAAAACTCGGGTGCCTCAGCCAAAAGTTCAAACACAAATAAATATAAAGTGCAGAGCTAAACGCGTCATACCCATTTTCTTAATCACCCAACGTCTAACCTGTCACAAAACTTATTTTTAAACTTTGACGATTCGTCAATCTAGACACTGTAACAAAGCGTTGTTAAGGAAAGAAAATTGCCACATTTCTATACTTGATGCTGAGACCAAACTGGCAGCTCACAGGAAGGAAAATCTGGCCTGTCACAAGCCTTTAGGTGACCCACGTCCACCTCTTGGCTATATGACCATTATGGTGATGTGTTTGTCTATTTTCTGAAGAAACTTGGGTCTGTTTTTGTTTTGTTTTTCCTCTAAACCTCCATCTACAAGACGCCGTGACTCTTCTGAACTTTTTTTTTAGAAAACTTTCAATTACGTAACCGTTTACAAACACACTTCGTTACGTAAGTCAGAAGCTTACTCTAAAGACCCCCGCCCCTCTCCCAGCTAAAGCCCCCCGCCCCTCTTCCAACAACCTTGCTCGCGCAGACGTAAAGACAGAACCAAACCCTTTCTGACATTTAAACATTGAAGACTTGACCAGCAAGCCGCACTCTAATCAAATAAACCAAGGATTGGGGATCCCCAGAAATGTCCCGGGCAGATCCGGGAAATCCCAAAGAAGACAGAGACGACATTTCATTGGTGGCTCCTGCAAGTCGAGCCAGCAGACGTCATGTTTTTCTCCTGACTTTTGTGTGGCTTATAGCTGACAGTTGGAATAATAAAAACACATTGTGTGTGCGTCGGTGTGTGTGCATGTGTGTGTTGACAGAGGAATTATAATTCACTTCGTAATTGAGTGTGTGGACTCTTGAGATCATTCACTCTGAGTGAGTGTTTGTGTGTGTATTTGATTAACATAATCACTCACAACTTCAGAAAAAATGACTAATTAGAAACAATTACATTCACGTGTGCTCACGCTTGATATTTTCTTTGACCTTGACCTAAATAACTGACAACGGCTCTGGAAATTGTAAGAATTAAAAGAAATGACCAGACGTTAAGATAACGCCAGCACTTTCAACATCCACCCTCGACAATCAGCGAATATACGCAGCAACCTGTCTTAAAAAGTGCAGGTTTGTTACATGTAATTGTCAACAGTGTGTACTTTATGCTTCTAAACTGCACAGTGCTTTTATATTGTCATAACATAGCAGATTTTAAAAAGCAACATCATGGTAAAAAATTGTTTTTATAAGTATATATATATATATATATATATATATATATATATATATATATATATATGCCCTGTATGAATTTTCTTCCCCTACCCCCACTCCATGAGCTTTAAAATTATTTTATTCTCTGTTTTCAAACGGATGAAATGTTGGAGTGAATGAACACGACGAAAGGAGCAAATAATGAAATGAAACGATAATTAAAATAAAGTCATAATTTATATTAATTGGCCTATTAATTAAATTAATGTAATGTAATTAAATGATATAATATCTAAGTCTGCGATAAAAAGAAATTACAGTTCATGATTTAATTACCGAATGTAATAAATACAATTGCTTTTTTTTTCTATGGTCTTCAAGAAATGACGCGAGCTTAAAATAAGAATGAGTTAACTCTTTAATGAAAGAGCTTACAGTCGCAGGGGGTTCAAGAGAAATAAAGTTCCATATTTTCATTAATGTGTTTACATGTTTTATTTTATTTATTACCTACTTCAATTAAATTCACTAGGTACGATTTTTTAAATGTGAATTTTTTAGATTAGTTTATAACTTTTCAAACAGTTCTTTTTTTTTCTCTTTTTAATGTATGCATATTTTATTAATTTTTTGTATATTAATAGGCTACTTTCAAAACGTAATCTTTTTTTTTTTTATTTTTTTTTTTTTGCATGTCCGCTATTCTATTGTTAAAATTATTCCTAGTTAGTATTGTGCCTAAGAAACTAATAATGCACATTACACAGAAAATTATATTTATTATAGTAGCTATATCCCTCAAATTTTTAAAGCCAGTCGTATGAGCTGCCCAAAAAAGAAAAAAGAAGGCAAAAAAATGTTATAAACTATAACCAAATTATTATAAAGAAATTATCATAACTGCACATCTAAAATGAAGACTCACTGATTACACATAACTAAAAGGACGGTCTGTTTAAATTTTGTTATAAAATAAAATGAGAAAATACAAAAAATATGGTGGAAAGTTTTAAAAATTGTTATATGTGATAAATATTTTTTTTTTTCAATGTTCAATGTCGGTTAATACTTGGTGTGAATACACAACACAACAAACAATTACAGTACGGCTCGTAGAAGGGAGAGAACCAAGAAAATTGGTACACACTCATGAGTTACGTCCCTTTAAACACAAATCTCTGCTCTAACGAAAGTAAGAAGAAACACAGGAATTGAGTTGCTGGCATGACGCTTTTATTTCTGGCAGACACCAGGGCCGTACACAAACTACACAAGGCATTTCATTAATGGAGTTTTGTCTAGGTCAACTTTGGTGTTTATCTTGTGGGTACAGGGACGGGTTTCTGGTTTCGTTATAAGCTGTAAGGATGTCAGGATACAGCTGTAAGGATGTCAGGATACAGCTGTAAGGATGTCAGGATACAGCTGTAAGGATGTCAGGCTGAAGCTCTATTGAGACTAAAAATATTTCTCCACGTCAAATAGGTTCATGGTAAATCTAGGTCAATTTAGAATCTGGGTCAAGGTTAATCAGTGTCAAGGCCGATCTGGTTCTGCAGCAACTGCGACCAACTTGGATAGGTGATGGGCTGAGGGCTGGGGACAAAGACAAGGGCGGTAATTTACCATCGGATTTTAATATTAAAAAAGGGAGGTAATTTACCAACCCACCTTCTAATTACAAGGGACGGTAATTGATTTCGCCATTGAAACGGGGAGATAATTTTTTATTATAATGTTATCCACTCCACCCAACCTAGGACATGTCTTAAATTCTAACCCTAACCCATGCCAACCCATACTGACCCTCCCGTACTATGCCAAGCTTTCATCCCTACCCTCTCATTACAGATGCTACCCCACCCCTCTCATTACAGATGCTACCCCACCCCTCTCATTACAGATGCTACCCCATCCCCACCCCTCTCATTACTTACAGATGCTACCCCATCCCCACCCCTCTCATTACTTACAGATGCTACCCCATCCCCACCCCTCTCATTACTTACAGATGCTACCCCATCCCTACCCCTCTCATTACTTACAGATGCTACCCCATCCCTACCCCTCTCATTACTTACAGATGCTACCAGCCATCCACCATCTCAGAGCTATCTGCTGTGTTTACAAACGGCTGTACTTGGCTGTTTACAAACGGCTGTACCTGGCTGTTTACAAACGGCTGTACCTGGCTGTTTACAAACGGCTGTACCTGGCTGTTGGATGTGTCCTGTGAAGCAGCTATGTCGGCACCTATTAGTTCCTCTGCCGTCAACCCGAAAAATCGCTGAACAAAAAATCAACAAAATTTAAATTTCTCCACATAAAAAACCAGGACAGACTTTAATGCTCATGTACACTGTGTTGCCTACTTCGTACACACTGTGTATGTGACTTAAATGTTCATGTACACGGTTGCCTGCTTTGTACACACTGTGTATATGACTTAAATGTTCATGTACACGGTTGCCTACTTCGTACACACTGTCTATATGACCTCGCACAAACTCTATTTCATATTGTCTGCACTAAGTCGTACTCATTTATACACAAAAAACACATGTTTTAAAAGCACATTACACAGACTATTTATACCTACCGGAGACAGTTGTGTTTTTATCTGCAGGAGGAAACAAAAGTTTTATTAGAATTTTTTTTTTAACATTCAATAAAAACATGGTTGTTGCCCTTACTATGTAAAACAATTATACTATCTTGGTCCCTAATTTTAGATTGTACCAACTTAAATGTTTACCTAAATAGAATGTATACCTTGTAGAATGTATTCTATGCAGAATGTGTATTTGAAACATTCTTTTAGTGTAGGAACATAAGTAATGATGTTTTTTTATATTGCCTATCATTATTTAATTACTTTGAAGCAATTATTTTATTTTAAATAGACCGTTAGTAGCTAAAGTAGACCCACCTGTGTTTGCTGTGATCTTTTATCTAACTGCAAAACAAAAAAAAATATTCACAAAAATAAAAAAACAATAGCAGCTTTACAGTTTGGTAACCTTCTGATTTAAAATGTGAAAAAAAAATGATGCGCCAACACAGAAGATGAAATAGGGGCCACTTTGTTGGTAGCCTTACTGTCGTAGACAGCTTTTGTTATTCAGCTTAAGATTAAGGTATGGTTTAGGCGAATAAGAACTTCAGATCGAATTAAAATAATGTTGGCAAATTAGCATTTTCTTTTACATTTCTCATAAAGGGCGAAAATCTTATAAGGGCTTTAGTTCAAATCTTATAATATACATGTAACTACACACAGAAAGACACACACACACAGATAAACACACAAGTACACACACACTCATATATATATATATATATATATATATATATATATATATATATATATATATATATATATATATATATATATATATATATGTGTGTGTGTGTGTGTGTATAATTCGTTAAAGGCTGATTTCATTATGTCCTCAGCTGTATGCAAGTTTTGTAAAAGTTTTCTAAGAGTTTCCGTCCTTTGTATGTCGTGAATCTTGACATTAAAGTTTGACGAGGTGTTGACGAACATGAGAGTGGTAGTCAGGGGACGCAACCGGTACTCACATAGCTGTCGTCACAGTTCTGCAACAATAGAACAAAGAACACATTATGCCGCTTCTGGCGCGAAGGACGCGCTCTCTGTATGACAAAAGCGGGGCGGGTTCAAACCCGACTGACATTTAACGAAACAAAAAGTTTAGAAGCGAAAACTAATTTTAGTTTTAAAACAACAGGTTAACGCGATCTTGAACAAACCTAACAGTTGTTGCTGAGGTGGGATATTTAATGTGAATTCACATTTCAAACTTACCAGTATATGAGCCTGAAAGAGAAAGAAATGTATTTTGAGCAAGGATAAATAAAGACCAAGTAAACAAAAATTCCCTTTATTTGAAACAAAAAAATTTGCATCAAGCGGGTGGTTCTAGGAAAGATAAAAAAGTTAGCTTTATAATTAATCTATTTAAAACGAAGATGAAATTCTTAAGTTTGTAAATACCTTGCACATCTGAAGAATGTACGTATTTAGATCCATGGTAATATTATCGTATATAATCATGCGATGGGTTTCATCAATACATCATAGGTAGATGTATACATCGTCAGGCAGATCATCACATGTGATCAAATCATCATTATGCCATCGTATCATCATTATGTCATGAAATCATCATGATGTCATCAGACCATGAAATAGTTGGGGAAAAAAGAAACATATTGTGAACAATTATTCAACAATTTTTCAACAATTTTCCATAAATTTTTTAACAATTTTTCAACAATTTTCCAACAATTTTTTCAGTGAGTACAACTTAACTGACCCGTTTAATTTAGGTGCAAAAATGTCAGGGACAGTGTGAGCCAATACACAACCCTTTAGTCTAAACCTGCTCATCTTTGTTGCTACACTTGACCTCACGACCTGACCAGTCTTAAGTAATCATGATTTAAATAATCATGATTTAAGTAATCATGATTTAAGTAATCATGATTTAAATAATCATGATTTAAATAATCATGATTTAAGTAATCATGATTGAAATAACCTGACTAATGACTAAATAGCTGACACTGGCATTTAGCTGCCCCCCCCCCCCCCCCCAGACACGCCTTTGTCAACCAAATTCCTCATTCAATCATTTTTTTCTCCCGCTTCAATTTCCCCCATAGCTCGGCTTCAACTGTGAAGAAAATCTGGCAAAGATCTGATAGCAAACACTTAGCAGCTTGCCAGCTTGGGTAAGTGCTGCCAGATTTTTAAATATTTTTTAATCGACCTTGGTACAAAGGTCAACGAGCCGGGGGTGGGGGTGGTGGGGGTGGGGGAGTATCGACAGACAGGCGACCCGCAGGTTTAAAACAGCTTGATGGGAGAAGATTATTCTCTCTAGTAACTTCACGGGCGGCTAGTGAGAATGTTCACTTCATCGATCGTATAAATAGTTGGACCAGTTCTCACATCCTCTGCTAAAACAAGCTCAGACAATCTTACTTACCATCTTTACATCGCAGCAGATGGGAAATAAAAAAGAACGTTGAATGCATATATGATTATATATATATATATATATATATATATATATATATATATATATATATATATATATATATATATATATATATATATGATTATATATATATGATTATATATATATATATATATATATATATATATATATATATATATATATATATATATATATATATATATATAGGGCCACTAGATAGCCCTTTATCTAACGAAAGATCAAAGTGCTATAAACTATTTCTAAATTTACTGAATATGTATGTAAGTAAGAGTAAAATAAACTCTTGTGTCACTGTTTGACTGACTTACTCTGTATCCCTGTAGGCCGCACGTGCAGATAGAGAAAGGTATCAGAACATTAGTCAGATGGAAACATTTAACATAATTCAATGATCAAATCACAATTCCAATAACGTTTCAAATTTTTTTTTAACTATACACAAATTTATCATTAATTAATATTAAATTTAATTATAATACTTAAAAGAATTACGATTGTCAAAAATTTAAAATATGTTTTCGTTAATGTACAATTTATGAACCACATATTTTGTATAGGACTACATTGTCCAGTAGAATAATTAAAAAACTAAAACTAAATCTGTTTAAAGAAGTTTAGTGTGTAGTGCTTTGGTGTGTAAGCACAAGAACACTTTTATGTTATCTACTCTACAAGAAATCACATAGTGATAATAAATAAAATAAAACTAACACTAGCCAAGATGGAGAGTTACAAACATACAACATCCAACAAACATTTCACTCAGCGCTGAATCGTAATATTTTTTATTATTTTATCAGTTTAAAATTCCAAATACTGTTTTATAATGTTAATATGTTATTTATAGAAAGAGTTGGTTCCGTGGAGTAATTAATTTTTCAGTAGCAAGTGATGCAGAGCAGAGGTCCAGAAAGGAAATAAAGTGAAGCTCATGTTTCTTGAGCCCCAGCATTAGATCATGTAGACATTTTATTCCCCACAGTGGGTCAGGTACTCATCAGAGCTGGGTGACTTCTTGCCACACTAAAGAATACAGCAAAACCCTGTTTCTCATTGCCATACAATGAACTGCTACAAAACCCTGTTTCTCATGGCCACACAATGAACTGCTACAAAACCCTGTTTCTCATGACCACACAATGAACTGCTACAAAACCCTGTTTCTCATGGCCACACAATGAACTGCTACAAAACCCTGTTTCTCATGACCACACAATGAACTGCTACAAAACCCTGTTTCTCCTGACCACACAATGAACTGCTACAAAACCCTGTTTCTCATGGCCACACAATGAACTGCTACAAAACCCGTGGCCCCAGAAGACCCCCCCCCCCTCCCCACTGTTACTACAAGCGGCCTCGTGTCAACTACGTGTTTTTTATCTAATTTTATAACTGCGTACTTTAATCCCTTAATTGGCCCGATCTTTTAATTAATTACCAGCCCGCCGCCCCCACCTGCCCGGATCAAACCATTTCCCACGCTGGAAGACAACAAGACCATTCTAGTGTGGTTTCCTCTGCCACACAGAATGGCATGTGCCCCTCCACACAGAATGGCATATGCCCTGCCACACAGAAAGGCATATGCCCTGTAGTCAAAGAAACGGCTCTCATCCAATGCCTTGCGCAATGTGTTGAATAAACCTCCCCGCCTATACTCAAACTTGTGTGTAAATAATAAACAAGAAGATCGTATCTAGGAAATAGAAAACAATATCCCATGTTTTCAGGGAGGAAATAGAAGACAATATCCCATATTTTCTAGCATACTGCGGCCTAGTTTTTATGTTTTCATGACAGTGATGTAAGCACAGCACGTAAATAGTATTTATTTTGATTATATTGCACAATAAAATTATATATATATATATATATATATATATATATATATATATATATATATATATATTTATATATATATATATATATATATATATATATATATATATATTTCAAAATTAATTTTGATGTATCAACAATAATATCTAACGTTTTAAAACTATATACTCACTTTTTTAAAAAGAAATTAATAGAAAATATATCTTGATATGCTTTGTTTGACAAATAAAACAAATAGATCTTAGAACGACAGCCATTAATTCAAGTGTTTCATGTATTAAAATTAGTTACGTGTGGTGTCTAATATATTCTTCTAGCAGAGAATGTGTAGGACAAGACATCTATACATATGACAATGTTGGGTTAAGGAGCACATTTTTATGGCGTACAACAGACTAGTTTCTTCTTTTATTAATGGGTGTTAATTAAATCAATATTCTGTGAGGATAATTAATTTGTGATACACTAATGAAAATCTTTATAAAGATAAATGGGCAACAAGGTAAATGAACGTGACCTATTTGTAAGGAGTTTAGGTGTGTGGGTGGGGTAGAGGTGTGGGTGTGGCTAGGTAGAGGTGTGGGTGTGGGTAGGTAGTGGTGTGGGTGTGGCTAGGTAGTGGTGTGGTAGGTAGTTGTGTTGGTGGGGTAGGTAGTGGTGTGGGTGTGGCTAGGTAGAGGTGTGGGTGTGGGTAGGTAGTGGTGTGGTAGGTAGTTGTGTTGGTGGGGTAGGTAGTGGTGTGGGTGTGGGTAGGTAGTGGTGTGGGTAGGTACAGAGGTGTGGTAGGTAGTTGTGTTGGTGGGGTAGGTAGTGGTGTGGGTTTGGGTAGGTACAGAGGTGTGGGTGTGGGTAGGGTAGGTAGTGGTGTGGGTGTAGGTAGGTATTGAGGTGTGGGTGTGGCTAGGTAGTTGTGTGGATGTGGGTAGGGTAGGTAGTGGTGTGGGTGTGGGTAGGTACAGAGGTGTGGGTAGGTAGAGGTGTGGGTGTGGGTAGGGTAGGTAGTGGTGTGGGTGGGGTAGTGTGAAATGAGTTTTTGCATTTTTGTTTTTGGGTTTAAAAAAAAGTCAGAAAACATCGACTACAAGCAAGAACTAAAACCACATCAAGAAACATTAAAACATGCTTGTCTAGAGAAAAATGTCACTGTCATATAATTTTATACCCATACACACACCATAATAATCTCAAAAAGTCAAGAAAACTATGTAGCGACTGTAATCGTGAGGTAAACTATCGGTATTGTAGATAGGTGTGTTCTCATGGTACATAAGAAATATAAGAAGTCAGGTATTGGAGAAGTCAGGTATTGGGTAAGTCAGTTATTGAAGTCAGGTATTGGAGAAGTCAGCAATTGGGTAAGTCAGGAATTGAGTAAGGCAGGTATTGTATAATTCAGGTATTGTAGAAGTCAGGTATTGTATAAGTGAAGTATAGTAGAAGTCAGGTAATGAAGTCAGGTATGGAATGTATGCAACCTTATTTTTTGATGAAACTGGCGGCACCAATGACGCCAAACAAACATTGATACACCGAATGTCTCTTGTTAGTGTGGTGCCTGGTGCAGCCAGCACCATCCGCTTACATTGGCTAAACTACAGCTACACAACAGAGCAGTGAGAAAATATCGAACACATACAAGAAGTAATATTAAACTTCCACCTTCAACTTACCATAAACTGGTCACGTGAGTGGATAAAAATAGATCATGTTAAAGTACAAAGATTTGTTGATTCACGTTTCTCATTTATAAACAAAATTAAACATCCATTGGTAAAATCTATTTACACATGTGTCAACATTAGTATATTTTATATTATTGTAGATTAAATTGTGGAGCTAATGCAACATAGCAGTATAGGACGTCAAGAATTATTTACTGGTTACTGTAAATATGTGCTGGATGCTGCAATTATGTACGGGTTGCAACTAGTATTTAATGTTTACTGCTATCAATTATTGGTTACTGCAAGCGTGTACGGGTTACTGCAAGTATGTACGGGTTACTGCAAGTATTTACTTACGTTTCTCCCTCCTCTTCGCTTGACACTGGATAAAAGGTCTGGCATTTCTGAGTTTCTTACTACACCGTATGCTGCAGAGCAGTGACAGATGTTAGCTACATACATACATACATACAGTACACACATATCGTTACATATATATATATATATATATATATATATATATATATATATATATATATATATATATATATATATATATATATATATATATATATATATATATATATATATGTGTGTGTGTGTGTGTGTGTGTGTGTGTGCATGTGTGTGTATTCTCTTCTAATTGTTAACAATATAGTGTCGGGTTATAGAGAAATGTTATGACTGACTGTTGCACATTTAACTGCCAACGCTGAGCTGACTATAGTATGCAACGCCCCCAACTCTCACTTTAACAGGTCATAACGAATGTGTAATCTGGAATCTGGGATTTTGAATCTGGAATCTGGGAAGTGGAACTGATTATTGGTCGTCTCTTGACCGGAAGCCGGCAGAGGCGCCACTGGGGTGAAGATCGGCTGACGTATGCTGACAGAAAAGTGATTTCTGTGAGCAGGCCACTTCCGGTCTTCTGCTATTCTGAGGGCAGCAGACGACGGTTTCAAACAACAATATTGGTTTATTGCAGAAGGCGCATTCTCCCCGACACACCCTCCCCGCCACACCCGTCCCGCTGTTTCCCCATCCACTGTCAGCCACGCCCATGTTAGACTCGTCATTGCCAGATATTTGTGTGGAATTTGTGTGGTTTTTGTTGTTGTTTGATTTGAGTTGCCAAACTTGTATTGTCTTCTGCAGACAAGATCTCAGGAAATATAACGCAAGTCTTCATCAATAAAGTAAATGAAAGAAATTTCCGGCATTCTTGGACACTAAAAGAATGTAAGACATGCAAGTCAGCAACAATTGAAGGAATACATTCGTGCATAGCTGGGTGCTCTTTAAGATGAACTGTTTTAATATCATTTAATCATCGGCACTGTCTTTATGAATTTCACACAAACTATTAAAACTATAACGATAAAGCAATCAACTAGTAATCTAAAAATCTTATCATAATACATAGAACTAATTAAAAATAAGTAAATCAATTAAGGGAGTGTTGGAAAGTTGAAAATAATTTTCGAAAAAATTATAACTTAAAAGTTTTTTTTTCCTTTTTCTAAAATAAAAAAAAAATGTCGAACAATAGAATCTCAAATTTGCCGGCCTGTGCTCGGTAGACACAAGTTCAAGGTCAGATAACAAGGGGCGGTGTGGGGGTGGGGCGTGCAGGGGTACAAGGGTCTCCATCAAGGGGCGGTGTGGGGGTGGGTGGGAAAGGGGTACAAGGGTCCCCATCAAGGGGCGGTGTGGGGGTGGGTGAGGAGGGGGTACAAGAGTGCCCATCAAGGGGCGGTGTGGGGGTGGGGGTGCAGGGGGTACAAGAGTGCCCATCAAGGGGCGGTGTGGGGGTGGGGGTGGGTGGGGCTACAAGAGTCCCATCAAGATGTCACGTGAGGTCGTCAATTAATTACGTCCAAACTTTTTTGTGCTAATTTCAAGTCGTCTCCCACCCACTTGTCCGCAACTGTCAACGAATAAAGCCCCCCCCCCCCTCCCTGCCCCTGTCCCCGTCCCCCCTCCCCCGCCCCGTCCCAGGGAGCGGTGAAAAACCTAGCCAGTTTTTCAAGGAAATTTGGTTCCAGATCGTGAGTGAAATGCATGTGCAGCATGACAAGGTCGCACGTCACGTGCTACACGACAAGGTCACACGTCGCGTACACATCACGCGCTGGTAACTGTGGCGTTATATCGTTATCAAGACGCAGGGCTAGGCTCGCAACAACACCAACCCCACTCAGGAGTTGTGTCTTGTCTAGTGAACATTTAGTGAAAGGCAGTAGTGAATAGAGTTATGCCACTAACAATTTAAGGCACAAGGGATTAGAGTTATGCCACTCACAATTTAAGGCACAAGGGATTAGAGTTACGCCACTCACAATTTAAGGCACAAGGGATTAGAGTTACGCCACTCACAATTTAAGGCACAAGGGATTAGAGTTATGCCACTCACAATTTAAGGCACAAGGGATTAGAGTTATGCCACTCACAATTTAAGGCACAAGGGATTAGAGTTACGCCACTCACAATTTAAGGCACAAGGGATTAGCATTATGCCACTCACAATTTAAAGCACAAGGGATTAGAGTTATGCCACTCACAGTTAAAGGCAGTACGGAATACAATTCATACCATTGGTATCTCTTCACATCAAAGTGGAATTCTGTAGCTGTCTGCCGTTTGTCTCAACAGTCTCTTAGCCTAGTCTCAGCTCTTAGCTCCAACTCAGCTCTAGCTTTTTATCTGCTCCATCCCAGCTGTATCTTAGCTGCTATCTATCTGCTGTATGCTAGCTAAGGTAGGAAACTCATCCAGATATGTCCTAGAGGAGTCCGACTTGTGCCCCCTGTTGATCTCTAGATCTTCCACAGATGTGCCATATAGTCGCCCTTGTTCTGCCCTATTTCTGCCCTAAAGCTAATCTAGATCTGCCATAGATGTGCCATATAGTCGCCCTTGTTCTGCCCTAGTTCTGCCCTAAAGCTACTCTAGATCTACCATAGATGTGCCATATAGTCGCCCTAGTTCTGCCCTAGTTCTGCCCTAGTTCTGCCCTAAAGCTACTCTAGATCTAGCATATATGTGCCATATAGTCGCCCTAGTTCTGCCCTAATTCTTCCCTAAAGCTACCCTAGATCTGCCCTAGGCTGAAGTAAACAAGATTGTTTACGTAGAAGAACAAGAAAGAATTTCCCAACCCCAACCCCTCCCCACCCCTGGTCCTTAAGTCCAACCAAAAGGCCAGACCCAGCCAATTTTCTCACCCCATTACATACACGGAGATATCCAATCGGTGTTTGTCACGTCGATTAGTTGTTATTTCAGATAAAGGCTTTACCTCCCCTCCCCCCTCTCCCAAACATAATAGCCGTGTGACCAAAGTGTAAGTAAAAAAAAAATAGATGTTTGTAGAGTTTTCTAACAAATTGTATGTAAAAAAAAAGCTAGATATTTGTAGAGGTGTCCAAACTTTTCAAACTGTGGTCAGTATTTTGACCATTGTTGACATAGGTCGGACTTTTAACGGAGGCTTTAGACTCCCCCGGATGTGACGCCATCTGACATGAAATCGTGACGCCTGCTTGTTTATGTTGGAGTCAGATCTCTTGCAGTCAAGTGTGTCCAAGTTTTATATTGTGGCTACCTTGTCTGATTAGCGGTAGAGGACAGCACCAACCAGAAAATGATTTTAGTGGCTGAGATTGCTTTACCTGGATCACACAGACCCGTGAATTAGACCCGTGTATCAGATCCATGTATCAGACCCGTGTATCCGACCCATGTATCAAAAGACCCATTAAGCAACAGACCCAAGTATCAACAAACCTATGTACCTACAGATCCATGTATCAGATCCCTGTATCTGGCCCATGTATCAAAAAACCCATGTATTTTGTTCTCTGGCTCTATCAATTTACTTCCTGTAAAGCGCCGTGGATTGTGGGTCGGCCACTTGATTGTCTCGACCAAAGCCAAACTGGCCTCCTGGACTTTGACCTAACAATGCAATCATGTCCCGAGCAGCTGGCCAAGAGTTAATCACCGAGCCCGCCTGCTCATGTAGACTTAGCCTCCCGTGCGGCTTGCAATCATTGATTGGTTTAACCCCTTAGAGACTAACGTTTCATTTTTTGATGTTTTCTTTTGTCTAGTCAGAACCTGGTGGTCTGCGGCTGTTGGGCTGGTTGTGAGGGCACTAATGGCGTCGCTACCGCAATCAGACTAATAGAAAACTGACATCACAACCATTTTAGTCGCCACCCGCGGAGACCTGTGTCTCTACTGTGTTTGATATCTGTAAGATACAGACTACTGTACAGTGGGCCGTTTGATATCAGCGGGCTGTAAGATACAGACTACTGTACAGTGGGCCGTTTGATATCAGCGGGCTGTAAGATACAGACTACTGTACAGTGGGCCGTTTGATATCAGCGGGCTGTAAGATACAGACGGCAAGGTGGGCCGTTTGATATCAGCGGGCTGTAAGATACAGACTGCACAGTGGGCCGTTTGATATCAGCGGGCTGTAAGATACAGACGGCAAGGTGGGCCGTTTGATATTAGAAGGTTGTAAGATACAGACGGCAAGGTGGGCCGTTTCGGCAAGGTGGGCCGTTTGATATTAGCGGGCTGTAAGATACAGACTGCACAGTGGGCCGTTTGATATCAGCGGGCTGTAAGATACAGACGGCAAGGTGGGCCGTTTGATATTAGAAGGTTGTAAGATACAGACGGCAAGGTGGGCCGTTTCGGCAAGGTGGGCCGTTTGATATTAGCGGGCTGTAAGATACAGACTGCACAGTGGGCCGTTTGATATCAGCGGGCTGTAAGATACAGACTGTACAGTGGGCCGTTTGATATCAGCGGGCTGTAAGATACAGACTGTACAGTGGGCCGTTTGATATCAGCGGGCTGTAAGATACAGACGGCAAGGTGGGCCGTTTGATATTAGAAGGTTGTAAGATACAGACGGCAAGGTGGGCCGTTTGATATCAGCGGGCTGTAAGATACAGACTGTACAGTGGGCCGTTTGATATCAGCGGGCTGTAAGATACAGACCGCACAGTGGACCGTTTGATATCAGCGGGCTGTAAGATACAGACTGTACAGTGGGCCGTTTGATATCAGCGGGCTGTAAGATACAGACGGCAAGGTGGGCCGTTTGATATCAGCGGGCTGTAAGATACAGACTGTACAGTGGGCCGTTCGATATCAGCGGGCTGTAAGATACAGACGGCAAGGTGGGCCGTTTGATATTAAAAGGTTGTAAGATACAGACGGCAAGGTGGGCCGTTTGATATCAGCGGGCTGTAAGATACAGACTGTACAGTGGGCCGTTTGATATCAGCGGGCTGTAAGATACAGACGGCAAGGTGGGCCGTTTGATATTAGAAGGTTGTAAGATACAGACGGCAAGGTGGGCCGTTTGATATCAGCGGGCTGTAAGATACAGACTGTACAGTGGGCCGTTTGATATCAGCGGGCTGTAAGATACAGACGGCAAGGTGGGCCGTTTGATATCAGCGGGCTGTAAGATACAGACCGCACAGTGGACCGTTTGATATCAGCGGGCTGTAAGATACAGACTGTACAGTGGGCCGTTTGATATCAGAGGGCTGTAAGATACAGACGGCAAGGTGGGCCGTTTGATATTAGAAGGTTGTAAGATACAGCAGGCAAGGTGGGCCGTTTGATATCAGCGGGCTGTAAGATACAGACTGTACAGTGGGCCGTTTGATATCAGCGGGCTGTAAGATACAGACGGCAAGGTGGGCCGTTTGATATTAGAAGGTTGTAAGATACAGACGGCAAGGTGGGCCGTTTGATATCAGCGGGCTGTAAGATACAGACTGTACAGTGGGCCGTTTGATATCAGCGGGCTGTAAGATACAGACGGCAAGGTGGGCCGTTTGATATCAGCGGGCTGTAAGATACAGACTGTACAGTGGGCCGTTTGATATCAGCGGGCTGTAAGATACAGACCACACAGTGGGCCGTATGATATCAGCGGGCTGTAAGATACAGACGGCAAGGTGGGCCGTTTGATATCAGCGGGCTGTAAGATACAGACGGCAAGGTGGGCCGTTTGACATCAGAAGGTTGTAAGATACAGACTGTACAGTGGGCCGTTTGATATCAGCGGGCTGTAAGATACAGACCGCACCGTGGGCCGTTTGATATTAGCGGGCTGTAAGATACAGACGGCACTGTGGGCCGTTTGATATCAGCGGGCTGTAAGATACAGACTGTACAGTGGGCCGTTTGATATCAGCGGGCTGTAAGATACAGACTGTACAGTGGGCCGTTTGATATCAGCGGGCTGTAAGATACAGACGGCAAGGTGGGCCGTTTGATATCAGCGGGCTGTAAGATACAGACTGTACAGTGGGCCGTTTGATATCAGCGGGCTGTAAGATACAGACCACACAGTGGGCCGTATGATATCAGCGGGCTGTAAGATACAGACGGCAAGGTGGGCCGTTTGATATCAGCGGGCTGTAAGATACAGACGGCAAGGTGGGCCGTTTGACATCAGAAGGTTGTAAGATACAGACTGTACAGTGGGCCGTTTGATATCAGCGGGCTGTAAGATACAGACTGTACAGTGGGCCGTTTATCCATACCTGTACACACACCTGTATAAGAAAAACCGCCCAAGTCACGGTGGGAGAATATAACGAAATGGGATGGGAGACAACAAGGTATGGACTGGGCAGCAGAAGACTGAGACGTTTGGTACAAAATTATTTTAATATATATATATATATATATATATATATATATATATATATATATATATATATATATATATATATATATATATATATATATATATATATATATAGTGACTGACAAATTATCTCAGGACCAACAATATCAGACAAAATTTCCCAGAAAAAAGCATTTCACGTCAGATTGCATAATAATATATTATTAAGGTATATTAGGAAGATATGAGTCACTAAAAAAAAGAGGAAAATGTTAAATGTAGGGCTATATATTGTAAATTTTCCGATGTTAATATACATAATTTATAAGTTAGTATTTATAAAGTCAGATGTACGCAGTCTTAAAGAGCTAGTTTATAGCGTGTAGATCAATTAGATATTCGTTAAGGTCCATGAAATTTAGTTGGAAATTTTTTTTAAAAATTGCCAGCAAAAAACCTGCCAAGACATGCAAGGTCTGGCAACTGCCCCTTGAAGTTCCCACAGAGGATTGTTAAAAAATCTGGCATGGAGCATTATCTACACAATAGAAGTGTTTTATTTTTCTGGCCAAAGTGGTGAGCATTGCCATATGGACAGTTGGTGGCCCTTAAAGTTCATTGGCCTGACGATGGTAAATCGTATAAGGACCAAATTTAAATAAAATATCGTGCAAGGACTTTAAATAAGAAAACTTGTAAACGAGAATTATATATATATATATATATATATATATATATATATATATATATATATATATATATATATATATATATATATATATATATATATATATATATATATATATATATATATATATATATATATATATATATATATATATATATATATATATATTTCCATGTATGTGTGTGTAACATTATATTAACAAATGTGTGTAGCTTAATACATACGTGTGAGACGTTATGGTTACACCAGTGACCCGACGCAAGTATGTAATACCTGTGACACCACTCATTATGTGCCACAACCTACACCACACATGTAAGTAACACCCTGACATCACACATATAAGTAACAACATGACACCACACATGTAACACCATGACACCACACATGTATGTAACACCATGACAACACACATGTAAATAACACCCTGACACCACAGATGTAACACCATGACACCACATATGTAACACCCTGACATCACACATATAAGTAACACCATGACACCACACATGTAAGTAACACCATGACACCAAACATGTAAGTAACACCATGACACCAAACATGTAAGTAACACCATGACACCACACATGTAAGTAACACCATGACACCACACATGTAAGTAACACCATGACACCACACATGTAAGTAACACCATGACACCACACATGTAACACCATGACACCACACATGTAAGTAACACCATGACACCAAACATGTAAGTAACACCATGACACCACACATGTAAGTAACACCATGACACCACACATGTAACACCATGACACCACACATGTAAGTAACACCATGACACCACACATGTAAGTAACACCATGACACCACACATGTAAGTAACACCATGACACCACACATGTAAGTAACACCATGACACCACACATGTAACACCATGACACCACACATGTAAGTAACACCATGACACCACACATGTAAGTAACACCATGACACCACACATGTAACACCATGACACCACACATGTAAGTAACACCATGACACCACACATGTAAGTAACACCATGACACCACACATGTAAGTAACACCATGACACCACACATGTAAGTAACACCATGACACCACACATGTAACACCATGACACCACACATGTAAGTAACACCATGACACCACACATGTAAGTAACACCATGACATCACACATGTAAGTAACACCATGACACCACACATGTAGGTAACACCATGACACCACACATGTAAGTAACACAATGACACCACACATGTCAGCAACACCATGACACCCTACTCACACGCTGTAAGGGGGAGGAGACATAAAACACAGGCCACGACTGCGACTACTTGCAACAGCCGGAAGTTCCATCGTGTGCTACTCATCCTCCTGTTTTTGTTGCGTTCCTAGTTCACACTGCTCGGGGAAATAAATCTTCTGGAATTTAAAACAAAAGTAAAGTATTTTAAAAGCTGTAAAATTCCAAACAAAAGTAAAGTATTTTAAAAGCTGTAAAATTCCAAACAAAAGTAAAGTATTTTAAAAGCTGAGAAATTTAAATAAAAACAAAAGGCATAGTAAAAAAACGTTCTGATTTTATGAAAAGAAATTAAAACATGTCAGAAATAAACGCCAGTATGTGATAAAAACTAATCGGCAATTTGTGTTTTTTGTCTGGTCCGGTGCTGGACATTTTGTATTGTGTGTTGTTTTTGGTCCGGTGTAGAACATTGTGCATTTCGTCGAGACGTCAGTCTTGACTATAAATATAAATATAAATAAATATAAATATAAATATAAATAAATATAAATAAATATAAATATAAATATAAATATATATATATATATATATATATATATATATATATATATATATATATATATATATATATATATATATATATATATATATATATATATATATGGGGGTGTGTGATTAGGTGTATTGAAGACATTGGTCTCAACAAATGAACGGATTATGTGATCAATGAACAGACGCTGTCCAAAAACAAATTTCCTTAAGTACCCTTCAGATGGGCGGGGCAAGAGAGCCCGCCATGTTTGCCTACGTCATCTTGTTTTAAAAAGTTAGCTAACGATCGATTTAAAAAAAAAACCCAAGCAATTTTTAAATGAATTTATTTTTTCATACACGGGCCACTTGGCCATTGTACATAAGTCAGTGCTGGTATGTCGCCTTTTTTTTACATAAACGTCATTCGAAGAACGTATAGAATATGTACATACACGTATAGTATTGGACAAAAACCCACATATACAGAAGTAGTTTGTGGGATGTTACAAGTGAAATGTTGTATCTAATGTAGTCTAAGTTCAAAAGGTTCAGATTCTAATGGAGGCACAACGTGTACGTTAAACGACAAGTTAGCTCTGAAATGGTTTGGTAAAACGACAAGTTTTCTCTGAAATGGTATGGTAAAACAACAAGTTAGCTATAGTAAAGAAGACGTTCTTACGAGTTAGTGAAGGGTAAACCTCAGCAAATGCTACAATGACATGACGTCCACAAGGGACTGCGTGGATAAAATGTGTGTTCGTTACGATAAATATATTTTAAGCCAGCGATACCCTCTGTGGATCTGTGGCATTTGACCACCATGGTATATGATAATTAATGAATAATTCAAGTGAGCACGATGACATATGAAAATTAATGAATAATTAAGGTGACCGGGGTGGGCTAGAAAAGTCGTTGTACCGCAACATGTTCGCTCGTGCATGACACGGCTGGTTATCTCATCAAAAATGTAACCGGCTAATTGGTTCGACTTTAACCAGGTTAGCTTGGTCACGTGACACGAACTAGAAAAGTTGACAGACTAGCAGATCTCTGTCAGTTCTTCTCTGTAAGTAGTTTCCTAAAGCAAGTTACAGGAAAAGTACGATTAGAATGTGCTCTACCTATGTAAAAATTTTGATACCATAACGATACGATACGATACGATACGATACGATACGATACGATACGATACAATACGATACGATACGATACGATACGATACGATACGATACGATACGATACGATACGATACGATACGATACGATACGATACGATACGATACGATACGATACGATACGATACGATACGATACGATACGATACGATACGATAAATAGAGAGAGAGAGTGTGTGTGTGAGAGACAAGTGGTTAAGATAAACAGTGTGAACAAAACAAGCTATAATGACGAATTACATTACACCAGGTAAAGATTATGTATTGGACAGTAACGTCAGCTAAGGCTGACCATAAAATGTACTATGTGGAGGATGGGATCTAAAGTCTGCCATCCCAACAGAAACTATTATCTAAAGTCTGCCATACCAACAGAAACTTTTACCTAAAGTCCGCCATCCCAACATAAACTTTTACCTAAAGTCTGCCATCCCAACATAAACTTTTACCTAAAGTCCGCCATCCCAACAGAAACTTTTACCTAAAGTCTGCCATCCCAACAGAAACTAATACCTAAAGTCTGCCATCCCAACAGAAACTATTACCTAAAGTCTGCCATCCCAACAGAAACTATTAAAGTCTGTCATCCCAGCAGAAACTTTTACCTAAAGTCCGCCATCCCAACATAAACTTTTACCTAAAGTCCGCCATCAAAATAGAAACTATTCAAGTCTGCCATCCCAACAGAAACTATTAAAGTCTGCCATCCCAACAGAAACTATTACCTAAAGTCTGCCATCCCAACAGAAACTTTTACCTAAAGTCTGCCATCCCAACATAAACTTTTACCTAAAGTCCGCCATCCCAACAGAAACTATTAAAGTCTGTCATCCCAACAGAAACTATTAAAGTCTGTCATCCCAACATAAACTTTTACCTAAAGTCCGCCATCCCAACAGAAACTATTAAAGTCTGCCATCCCAACAGAAACTTTTACCTAAAGTCTGCATTCCCAACAGAAACTTTTACCTAAAGTCCGCCATCCCAACATAAACTTTTACCTAAAGTCCGCCATCAAAATAGAAACTATTAAAGTCTGCCATCCCAACAGAAACTATTAAAGTCTGCCATCCCAACTGAAACTATTACCTAAAGTCTGCCATCCCAACAGAAACTTTTACCTAAAGTCCGCCATCCCAACATAAACTTTTACCTAAAGTCTGCCATCCCAACAGAAACTATTAAAGTCCGCCATCCCAACAGAAACTTTTACCTTAAGTCTGTCATCCCAACAGAAACTTTTACCTAAAGTCTGCCATCCCAACAGAAACTATTTAAGTCTGTCATCCCAACAGAAACTTTTACCTAAAGTCCGCCATCCCAACAGAAACTATTAAAGTCTGCCATCCCAACAGAAACTTTTACCTAAAGTCTGCCATCAAAATAGAAACTATTAAAGTCTGCCATCCCAACAGAAACTATTAAAGTCTGCCATCCCAACAGAAACTATTACCTAAAGTCCGCCATCCCAACATAAACTTTTACCTAAAGTCTGCCATCAAAATAGAAACTATTAAAGTCTGCCATCCCAACAGAAACTATTAAAGTCTGCCATCCCAACAGAAACTTTTACCTAAAGTCTGCCATCAAAATAGAAACTATTAAAGTCTGCCATCCCAACAGAAACTATTAAAGTCTGCCATCCCAACAGAAACTATTACCTAAAGTCCGCCATCCCAACAGAAACTTTTACCTAAAGTCCGCCATCCCAACAGAAACTTTTACCTAAAGTCTGCCATCAAAATAGAAACTATTAAAGTCTGCCATCCCAACAGAAACTATTAAAGTCTGCCATCCCAACAGAAACTATTACCTAAAGTCCGCCATCCCAACATAAACTTTTACCTAAAGTCTGCCATCCCAACAGAAACTATTAAAGTCTGCCATCCCAACAGAAACTATTACCTAAAGTCTGCCATCCCAACAGAAACTTTTACCTAAAGTCCGCCATCCCAACATAAACTTTTACCTAAAGTCTGCCATCCCAACAGAAACTTTTACCTAAAGTCCACCATCCCAACATAAACTTTTACCTAAAGTCCGCCATCCCAACAGAAACTTTTACCTAAAGTCTGCCATCCCAACAGAAACTATTACCTAAAGTCTGTCAACCCAACAGAAACTATTAAAGTCTGTCATCCCAACAGAAACTATTAAAGTCTGCCATCCCTACAGAAACTATTACATAAAGTCTGTCAACCCAACAGAAACTTTTACCTAAAGTCTGCTATCAAAACAGAAACTATTTAAGTCGCTCATCCCAACAGAAACTATTAAAGTCTGTCATCCCAACAGAAACTATTACCTAAAGTCTGCCATCAAAACAGAAACTATTAAAGTCGCTCATCCCAACAGAAACTATTAAAGTCTGCCATCCCAACAGAAACTATTACCTCAAGTCTGTCAACCCAACAGAAACTTTTACCTAATGTCTGCTATCCCAACAGAAACTATTTAAGTCGCTCATCCCAACAGAAACTATTAAAGTCTGTCATCCCAACAGAAACTATTACTTAAAGTCTGCCATCCCAACAGAAACTATTACCTAAAGTCTACCATCCCAACAGAAACTTTTACCTTAAGTCCGCCATCCCAACATAAACTTTTACCTAAAGTCTGCCATCCCAATAGAAACTATTAAAGTCTGCCATCCCAACAGAAACTATTACCTAAAGTCTGCCATCCCAACAGAAACTATTTAAGTTTGTCATCCCAACAGAAACTATTACTTAAAGTCCGCCATCCCAACATAAACTTTTACCTAAAGTCTGCCATCCCAACAGAAACTATTACCTAAAGTCTGCCATCCCAACAGAAACTATTAAAGTCCGCCATCCCAACAGAAACTTTTACCTAAAGTCTGCCATCAAAATAGAAACTATTAAAGTCTGCCATCCCAACAGAAACTATTAAAGTCTGCCATCCCAACAGAAACTTTTACCTAAAGTCTGCCATCCCAACAGAAACTATTAAAGTCTGTCATCCCAACAGAAACTATTAAAGTCTGCCATCCCAACAGAAACTATTAAAGTCTGCCATCCCAACAGAAACTATTAAAGTCTGCCATCCCAACAGAAACTTTTACCTAAAGTCTGTCAACCCAACAGAAACTATTACCTAAAGTCCGCCATCCCAACAGAAACTTTTACCTAAAGTCTGCCATCCCAACAGAAACTATTACCTAAAGTCTGTCAACCCAACAGAAACTATTAAAGTCTGTCATCCCAACAGAAACTATTAAAGTCTGTCATCCCAACAGAAACTATTACTTAAAGTCTGCCATCCCAACAGAAACTTTTACCTAAAGTCTGTCAACCCAACAGAAACTATTACCTAAAGTCTGCCATCAAAACAGAAACTATTAAAGTCGCTCATCCCAACAGAAACTATTAAAGTCTGCCATCCCAACAGAAACTATTACCTAAAGTCTGTCAACCCAACAGAAACTTTTACCTAAAGTCTG